CACACACACACACACACACACACACACACACACACACACACACACACGTGTGTGTGTGTGTATGTATGTGTGTCCGCGTCCGTGCTTGAGAAGTCAGTCACGTTGCCGCCCTAGAGGGTGGGGAATCTATGAGGGCCTGTAGTTGGAGGAATGGAGAGACTTTGGAACTTTCCTGCTGAAGATTTTTTTCTTTTTCTTGGTCTGTTGATTTTGAGTAAGAATATCCCCCATAGGAATGTGACTGGAAATTGGTGTGTGTGTTCGTGCTCAGACTGCAGCCATTTTGTGTGTGTGTGTGTGTGTGTGTGTCATATACATTTTTAAGAGTTCCATCGGGAGAAAAACAACTAATGGAATTTGAGAAGAAATAAGTGAATGTGTCTGAAGAGGTGGAGTGGCAAAGTTTTGAGCTAGACGAATCTCTTTTGATAGTTACAGTATAAGGCCAGATTTTGAAAAACTTGAAGTTGTACAAATCAGTAACTGAAATTTCTTAGCTAAACTAGTGCTCATTGTTTCAAGGAAGAGTGTATTCTAAGGGTATGGTGCGGCCGGATACATGGCAGTCTGACTTTAGAAACTTTGACAATGATGCTAAGAGTATAAAACATTAGGAAGAGTGTTCTGATATTAGATAAAGGCCTGTATGCTTTCGTTTTAATTTTTATGAACTTTTATAAAAGACAGAATACGTGGTCCCAAGCGCAGATGTTTATATTTTAACTCATTTAATTTAATACAACATAATAAACCTCCTACTCCACCTCCTTTCCTTGATTGTGAATTCTGTTTTATAAACATTTACTCTCAGATCTGAAATATGTTTAAACAGAATTTCCTCATGTTTTCTTATTATTTTATTTATTCACTTCTTTACTCCAATTATTCAAAGGGCTTTGGTGATGATAATATCAAACTAGTGAGGGGGATGCTAGGGATGGATGCCTTTCACCTTTTCCAAGAGCCCAGTGAACTCCTATTCACCCTTCCAGACTCATTCTTATTAACTTACTGCAAATATTAGAATATAATCATGCTTTATCTGTTTGATAGCTCTACCCTTATTTTTTTCTCTTGCTACCCAAATAGCAATCTTGCACGTGAGGAGTGCCCAATAAACTTATTAGTTGCAAGCTATTAAATGTTACTAGAAAGATAAGTCATCCTGAATGGAGTTCATGGAGTACGAGAAGAAATTTTGAACTTTTATTTGATGTTTAAGCAACGTTTTTTGTGTGAGAACAAAGATACACTCTCATGTGTTAGTGACAGTTTATACTCATAAAAGTGTAAAAAAAAACTGTAGATAAAAGGAAAATGAGTATAAAAATGCACTTTTTAAAAGAGACCTAGTGAATAGTCAGTGTGTATACTGGAATGTGTAATTTGTCATTTGCAGAAAGACATGAATAAGGTGCTGTTTGAATTTAGGAAATACTAAAAATTAACAGAGCTCACTAGATACTATTTGTAAAGGATAACACATTAATAAAGAAAACTGCAACCTACATTATATTGTACTCCTGAGTCTTAAGGTGATTTGAGCCTTTAGCTAATGAAACTTTTGTGAACTATATTCTTAATCAGTTTGGTCTGACTATTTATGCTATCTTGTCTCTAACAGCTCTCTTAACTACAACAGTATTACTGACCTTCCAGTTCACTCGGCTCAGTCTCATCAGTCCTGTCCCCAACTTTCATCTCCTGAATGGATTTACCCATTGCCAAGAGGATCCTTAGCAAATATTGACTTTATTAAAGAATGAATTTATTCTATTGTTTAAAAATGACTCAAGATTTGGCAACTTGATTGATCCAGAATCTATGCTTGAAAAGCAGAGAACCTGTCCTAGTCATTAGTAACCCCTGTTTTCTTCCTTTACTTAACTTCTCCCCTGTCCACTTAAATGTAAAGTTGCCTTTTCAATGTAACTTTAAAAATGATCACCCTTCCAAAAACAATGCTTCAAGAGTTTGATATTTATGAATAAAATTTGAGATGCAGAAAGGCTGAGTACTCCATGAATATTTTTTTTAAAAAATTCTACGTATTTTCTGATTCATGCACACATTTATTGAAGAAAATGATACCAAGCCATTTTGATTATTTTGCACCTTTCTCCCTTGAATTTTTCTCATTCAGACTTCTTCTGTTTCTGGTGTTTCCCTATCTTTAGATAAACAAAAGAGTATGCTTAAATCTTGGGTTGTCATATTACATGAGGGTGAAAAGGACACAAGCAAGGGAAGATACTTGTATTTAATAACCAAAGAAACTTTTCTTTTTTGGTTGGGGATGGTTATGTCAGGTGTAGAGGATTGACTTAATTATATTCTTCAGTTGGTGGAATATTATTATCATTCTTAGGACTAGAACGACATTGCAGGTATTTGGAATAAAGGTTTTTTAATTTGGCTTATGCATCGGACTCTGCCCTTAGGAAGCGCTTTCAACTAACATGCTTACATTAATTTCTTTCCTTCATATAAACCCACCAAATTAGAAATTGAGGGTGTAGAGGGGCTGCAGAGATGTCTCAGAGGATAAAAGCAGTGGCTGCTCTTCCAGAGATCCTGAGTTCAATTCCCAGCAACCACATGGTGGCTTAAAACCATTTATAGTGTCCTCTTTCGGTGCACAGTCATACATGCAGGTAGAAAACTGTATACATAGTAAATAAAAACCTTTTTTTAAAGAAAAGAAATTGGGGATGTAGAAACAAAAACAAAACAAAACAAATCACCCAGGGAATTTTTTGAGGTCCACTTTGTTTAAGAAGTACTTTGAGTAGTGGAAGTAAGCGTGTAGAGACAGTGAAAATAAACTCCTTTTTTGTGTGTAAATTGTTGGCAAAAGAAGACAAAAATTGCAGTTTGAAGATTTTAAAGGTTCAGTACAATGGGAACACCAAAGAGAGTTGAAAAGCCTGTTAGAGCGTAGGCGTGACTGAAGGTGTAATGCTTGAAGATATTAAAGGAGCAGGGAACAGAAGACAGTGGGATTAGGGACACAGAGAAGAGAAAAGAATGAATTAAAATGTAAGTTTAAAAGCAGAGAGGGTGAAGCTGATGGTATTCTCTTTGCATGTTTTATTAAATGATTACTACTATTTCTCAGTGGATCTATTTAAGATTCTTATTTAGTATCCAGCTAGAATTTGTAGGTGTATCTTAGTAGAAAACTTAAGGACTAAGGTAAATCATTATAAGTGTAGAGGTTATTAATTTTAATCAAGAAATACTATTTTTAGAGAAGTTTTATGTTAACAGGGAAATTAGTAGGAAATAGAGTTCTCATATGCCTCCTATATTTCCTGCACTATAGGATAACCTGTACCACAGTGGTACCAGTGTTTCAACTGACACTGACACATCGTTATCACCCAAGATGTATTGTTTACATAGACCTTTCTCTTTGGGTTAAACATTCTATAGGCTTGGACACAAGTGTAATGATTGCATTCCCGTTTGTCATATCACACAGATAGTTTGACTGACCTACAAATCTTTGCTTCGTCTTTGTAGCAGGCTTTCTTGGACTGCCAGCTCCCAAATCATGACACAGAGACTTAGTATTAATTATGAATGCTTGGCCTTAGCTTAGTCTTGTTGCTAGCTAGTTTTTTTTCCTTTAACTTAGATTAACCCATTTCTATTAATCTGTGTGCTTACCGGAGTCTCATTTACCTTATCTACATACTTTCCATCTTGCTTTCCTAATTTCTCCATGTCTAGCTAGCCCTGCTGATTGGCTGCCCCCCCAATTGGCAGTTCTCTAGTGGGCTGGCTGGCCCCCCTTTTCTCTTTGCCTACCAGCCACCTCATTCCTCCTCTGCCAAGCTATTGGCCTTTCAGCTTTTTATTAGACCATTCAGGTGCCTTAGGCAGGCAAGGTGAAACAGCAACATACCTTTACATAATTAAACAAATGCAGCACATCTTTACATAGTTAAACAAATATTCTCTCCCACAACACATATGTTTATCACTTACTCTTTCTAACCTCTAGTAATTATTGGTCCTTCCACTACTTCCATATTTTCACCTGTGCAAAACACTGTATACTTGGGATCATACATTATGTGGTTTCCCTCAGTCCTTTCATTTAGTAATGCACATTGCAAATTCCTGCATGTCTTCCCATGGTTTGATAACTTATTTCTCTTAAGTGCTGAGTAATAACACCTCACCTGGCTATGTTACAGTTTGTCTATTTACCTCCTAAATTCTTTGTTACTTCTAAGTTTTAGCAATAGTAAATAAAGCTAGTGTAAATATCGATATTCTATAACCTTTCGCCTCTTCCCACACCATAACTTCACAACTCCTTTGAGTAAATACCAAGGAATGTGAGTGTTGTATTCTATGTTAAGAATAAGTTTGGTTTTGCTAGAAACTGACAGCATACACAGTGACTGTACTATATTTTCAGTTGCACTGGTAGCAAATGAGAGGCTCATTCTGCATCAACAGCATTAACAGTAGTGTCAGTGTTCTCTATTTTGGT